AAATGACCACGCAATTCTCTCAGGTTGTTTTCTAAATAAACATCTAGATATTTTTTTCTTTATTGCTATTTCCTTTGAAAAATTTTAAAAAATAGTACACAAAATATCTAATTCTCTAATTTTCGTTTTTATTTGCTATAAGTTATAAAAAGAAAACAATAATTTAAGTAAATCAAAAGAAATTTAATTTTACTATGAAACATTCCCAAACATATCAATAAAGAAGTTAATTGTTAACATTATTATTTTATGTTAACCCCCAATAGGAGAAAAAAATCTATTTTAGGCTACAATCAGATTTAAATTTTCTAAAGAATGCGTCACCAAAAATTGTCGCTGCGACAGTGAAACAGCGTGTATATTATTGTAAACGACAGAATGCAAATTTCTCTGCAGTTACTGAATTATCTATATTTAAATTGTTACGCTTATATATACTCATCTTTGTGTTACGATGTTCAAAGCGTTAGACATCTTTCTATTATAAGCGGGACGTAGGATGAAGTTAATAAATTATATACGTAGTCTCACCGGTGAGGAGTCATTTGCAGTCAAAATAGCACAAAGGACTCATGCTCGGTTAATGGGTCGAGGTTTTATCCGTAATCGATACGACACGCAGCTGTAACAACCGTTCCGTGAAATGCCGAAAGATCGAATAGTAAATTTCCCTGACACCCTGAGAAGAACAGTGGATACAAAATCGCGAGATAGTCCTTTTAGAACATATATACTTTCCCCTAAATTTCATTAAAATCAGAATAATATTAAAAAATAAAATTAAAAAAATTAGTTTAGTAGTAACAAAGTAAATTTTCGAGCCTTTTGAAATTTTGCACTAATATTCTACGTGCGTTAAGCGACGTGTTAATAGTTAGAATGAAGTTTCTTGCAAGCGTATAATATATTACTGTAAATAATAAAACTATACTGTAAATAATATACTGTAAATAATAAAAATAACTTGCATTCATAAATCGAGCACATGGATCGAGCTAATTCTAGATATTGGCAATTCACTTGTTACCAATATTGGTTACATATTGAGTTATATTGGCCCAATGTACCCCCAATATGTACCAATATTGATGCAATAATGTTGTGCAATATTGGCAATTTATATTTACATTTTATTTACATTTTATTTATAAGCAATAATGGATACATATTGACTATATATTGACTATATTGGCCTAATGTACGTCAATGTAATCAATGTAACGCCAATGAACTATGCTATTAAGGTAAAGAGAGAAGAAGGCCGTCTCTATCATGTCTATATAGTCAGTCACAACAATTACTTGTTTCAGACGTTGCAACTTGAAAATTCTGAAATATAGGACATCCAGATCCGGTCTCCTCCACTTACAATAAGTTACATCAGTTCCTTGACGAAAAACGGTGAAAGGTCGTCTGCTATACCGTGAATAGGCAGATTCCGCGGCGCTTGCCGAGAAACCAGGAATGTGTTTACAATATCGCTTTCGTCGGCAACGCGACGAGAATAGGAACGAACAATTCCACGGCGCGGAAGTTCGCGAATCACTTTCGTTGGCTTTCTTCTCGATCTTGATGGAAATTTTTTCGCGGTCGGGCGAACACGCCGGGTCGCCTAAACGCGGTGGCTGCGCACGATTCGTGCGGTAGAAAGTTCGGTTTCGAAAACGTGCGCGCGGCAAATTGCTATGCGAACTGCGTGAGTCGCGTCCGCCTTAGGCCTGATTCGTCGTAATCCCTTTTTTCCCCCGAAAATCAAAATGCGAGGAGCGACGAGCGCGAACCTCGTGTAGAATCCCAAATATCATCGATACATATCGATCGCCAACGACACCTACGACGATCGAACGTTCGTAGTGCCATAGTCAACGAGATAGAGAGTATATCTTGCAAACAAAATTGATGTATGTGTACTTGGAAAAGCGGTTTTGGTCGGAGATAGTAATTTTGTAGGACAAACAGGAAGAATGAGTTATTGTACTTTAAGTGATTTGAACAAACGGAAAGAATGAGTCGTACTTAAGTGATTTGAATTTCTCCCTAGCGCAATTGAACATGTTACGCCATTATTTACGTGTCAGTGACTAATAGCACAAATATGCATTATCAGTTAACTACACTGATATTCATGACTATCGTCAATATGTAACTATGACTCATCCTGCAAACTCAAAACCTTTTGTTATCAAAGGAAGTAATGAAACTTCTCCAGAGCATTTTATCTAGACAATTGACATATGGATTGTTGACAAGATTTAGATTATCATTTTTATATAACAGTGCAAAAATCTCTCGTTAAACTCAACGATAGCTTCATTTGTTTAAAAATATTAGATGAAATGAAAATTTCTGCGTAAAAAATTCAATAGGTATTGATAGAAATATATACAAATTTTATAGAAATACTATAGAATTTCATTTAAATTTATCATCTCTATCGAAAATCTTAATTTCTCACATTTCAATTAAAAAAGTTACCAATTTCTTTCGTTTTATATCATAAATGACTTTATGATTAAACTGAATTAAATGAGTATAAGTATTTGCCTGAATATATATGCTTCTCTATGTAATTTTGTTACTTAAAAAAAAAACACGATTCAGTTACTTAGATTTTTCTTATGTCATTCTATCAAATCTTTTAAACAATGATATATCTCTATTTTTAACAGAACTTATATTTGACATAAGTCATCGTTAAAGGCAAAAGCAAAAAATTTACTTACATTAAGAAATTAATAAATATTTTTAACCGATTTCAAAAACATATTTAGTAAATAATTAAAAAATACAAGATGAACTAATTTTTAACAAAAATAAACCATCTCCAAAAGCTATAAAAGTCCTAAAAAATATGATATAATTTTCACTCTATATTTCTATATATCTACCATCCTATTTTTAATATTCTAACGATATTAAAAGTCAACGTAAAAAAGACGAATTAGATAAATAATTAATTATATATAACTGTATAGAGAAATAAATCATTAAAAAAAATATGATTATTGACTTTATGAAGCAGGTTTTCATATCAACTTCTATAATATCGTTAAAATGTTAGAATAGATTTGTAAATATATAGCTATATTCTGATTAAAAATTATTTCATACTTTTTAGGGGTTTTGAAGTTTCTAAAAGCGATTTATTTTTGTTATTCAACGCAGTAGGATACATATATCTGTATAGAAGTGAGAGATATATATGTAGCAATGATAAAAATTATTCATTTGGAGTTAAAATATCTCCGGATAAATACTCCAAAGTATATTTTGACTGAACCATCTGACATTTCATAAGTGGTCACATTCCCATCATATAAAAAGAACCATCATTGTTGGCAAGCTTAACAACAAAAAATGTGATAAATAATTGAAGAATAGTAATTAATTAATTAAAGGCTTACTAGTAATAGAATCGATCACAATCTAAATCGATTAATGGTCATGTTGAGATAACATCAAAATGTAATCGAACTTATCTAGATTTAAATCGTCAGTGATATTTATAATAACAAGATATGAAAGTAAGAACTTGAAAGTAAGTGTTTCTTATAAGGAGTCTAATAACAGAAAATAAATAGAATCAAGCATATTATAGTTGTGTATTCAATCCTTTCTTCTGTTTCTTAATATGTAAAACCTCAGAAATCAAGTGTTTGAAATAACATTATTCATTATCTAAAATTTTTATGTTATCCCAATCAAAATCATAATTAAAGTATAACTTATGATCAGTGATTACAGAAGGCTGAATGGTATTCTGTGATATATAACTTGTATATTCTTTTATTTTGGTTAGTAATTGTCTTTTTGTTTATTCAACGTAGCAAGCCTGGCAATCACGACAATTTATTTTATGTATTAGTATTCTACATTAGTATTACATCATGTATTGCATTTTTTGCACTAAGTCTTTATGTACCGAGATAAATCTATTTAATTTATTGTTGTTCCTGTATGAAGCTAAACAATCTAATTTGTTTATTATCATAGTCATTTTTTCCAAAACTCCGTCAATATATGGAAAAGTAAAAAACCTTTTTTGTTCGTTATTATTATGTGTCTCTCTATTTGATTAAAACATTCCTTCTAATGAAAACAACCTTTAAAGTCGTTTATTGATTGTACTGAATATAACATTCAATGGAGATAACTGTTTCCTGTTAATATACTGATAATGAATCTTAAGTTTTTTTCATGAAAGAAAAAATGTGATAACTTTAGGACTCTGTCTACCAATCCATGAACAATACCAATCTTATAGTAAACAATACTAATCTTATAGTAATAGGTATTTTGAATAGAAATCTAAAAACTTTCCAAAAAATATATATTTTTGATACTAATTATTCCTAATAGTATTATTTACTACATTTAACACCGAAAATGATAACTTTCTATTGTTTTCTAATTCAAATGTAAATTGTAAACGAGAGTAAAAAGAATTAAAAACTTTGAGCACTGATCTCATAAAATTAATCGGAACAGCTATAATCACGTCATCTACATACCTAAAATAAAACGATGGTATAAAATCTAGTTTGTTTAAAACTTGATTTTGACGTATTAATTTTGTAGTATTAAATCAGCTATAATAATCAGGGACAATCAGGGAGAATCCGTAGGAGTTTCAAATAATAACTGTTTATAGCAGGTACTGTCAAAAGTAAAGTATGTAGAGTTCAAAACGAACTCAACGGCATGCAGATTTTTTCTGAGTATCTTGATATTATTTTTTTATATTACATCATCTTTTTTAGCACTGATCATAGCCAAATCCAACAGTATAACAGTGAACAGAGATATCACATCCAGAGAGGCTAAAGTAAATATGTTGCATAATAAAGTGCAACTAAGATCCACAATTACCTCTTTCCACACAGCAAAACAATCCAAAATATATCATAGGATATCCTATGGATATTGCAATATCTTTAGGATACCCCTATGATGTATTTTGAACATTCTTGCTGTGTGGGTTATAGTCCTTTTAATTTTGTTTATTGATGTCATTATAGAATTTTTAATATATTTATTTAATGCTCCAGAGTAGTTCTATTGTAAGCTTGATAGAAAAACAAATTGTTGTCGTTTGTACTTGGCGACATTGAAAAACGGTCAAATATTTTCTACCCTCATGAAGCACATACCTTGATCTTTCCAATTAATTTTTTTTTAATCTACGCACAGTCGTGTTCTCTACTTCGTCCGAAGCGCGAAGGCGAAACGAGCCTTGCTCTCGGCGTTCCTCATTTCCAGTCTGGAAGGGAGAGACGCACGTGTCGCATGTCTAGGGAAGGACGAGAAGCGAGATCTGAAACAAAGGATCCAGATGGTGCGAGGAGAAAGAACGGGGGGAGGGGGGAGGGGGCAGGAGAGCACGCAGCAACCATCTTCCTGGTCATAATTTAAAGCGCGAGCCCGCTCCTACAGCCACACGTATAGCCCGGGACGTGAATAACAGTTCGGCAATGCCGGCGATCTCGTCGCGCAATTCGCACATGACGTATTGCCCCTCATAAAATTATTTATTTTCAGCCATGTGAGAGCCTCTCGAGAATTACGGAAATATATCTCCTTCAATTGTCGTGAGAGGAAACGTCTCACATATCGGTCTCACATATCATGTCTCACACGTGAACTATTGCGTGTGGCTCAATTCAAAATCTACCTTTTAGCGACAGTATATATTGCTCGATAAAACAGACAAAAATCGCTACTATATGCGACTGTAACGTACGTTAAGAAGAAAAAATCATTTATGTACGTTTAGAATAAAAAATCATGATGATATCAAAGTAACGAGAAAATAATGATAATTTTATCGGTGCATCAAATGAAAAAGGACAAGAATCATTGGGCAAGTTTACACCAAACATTTGATATATAAATATTACTACAATTAAATATTCATACAACACGAATGATATATTTTAGAAATATCCAGATATCTCAAGAATGTCTCCAGAATGTATTTTAGGCATTTATACCGCATAAATATTTAATACATATATTAAACATTTGGTATAAACAATGACTACCTGTACATGTATCAATCGTCAAAAATTGTTTGTAATACAGAGTAAACTCGGGCATAATAACCATACGAAAAAGATGGTTATAAGTTGTAATCTCTGCAATAATTGCTAAATAGTTTCAGCACCTGAGTGTACATATATAAACTATTATAAATATATCGATTATCTTTGAGAATTACAAAGCGCATTATTTTAACAATTATTGGAGAAATTACATTCTATAGCCATCATACGCTAGTTTGCCCTACACAAAATAAAGTCACCAATGAACAAGACGCAACGCTGCTGTAACTGCCATTACCTGATTGACTCATGATTGAAGAGAACATTTTTTGGTCATTCTCTCGTTATCTTGACATTATTATGACGATCTTTTGTTCTGGACCGTTCAGACCTGACTTGCTCTTGTTGCTCTGTAACAAATGCCACCGTAGAAGTCACATCAAAGTATGCGTGTGTGTGTTAATTTTTAGTTTGAAACAGCATTTCATACTGTCTCGTGACAAAGAAGGATGGATACGCATTTATCAGCCGATTCGTATCTCACGTCGGAGCCGAGCGAGACGCGGAGACTGTCACCCCGTTCGTTGTCCCTCTCGTTCCGCTTTCGCGTAATACATTGTATACATAAATCAAGATATCTCTTACCGCGTACATTCTCGCGCGCGGGCTACTGTGCGAGAGCCGGCCTTCAACAAAGGCTCGAAATCCTCTCTTGCGCGGGAAGAAGGCGCCCCCGTCGCGCGCGCGAGGTTAAGCGGCACGCTCCCCCTCTTTCCCGTCGCGAGGATAATGATCGTCGTGTCCGCTCGTCTACAGCTTCATTTAGCGAAGGACAGAAAGTGACGAATTGTCGCGGAGTCAACGAGATAGATCGAGAGGTGGCCGTGTAACGGCGGTCGCAAGAACGGGAAGCCACGGGAAACCTCGTTCGGCCTCGACCCGCACAAAAGTTCGTTGAGGCTGCTCAGGGCCGAGGAGGGCCGAAGGCGGCCGACGCGAGCCGAGCGCCGCGAGCTGCGCGCTCACCGACGTGAAGTGCGCGCAGGGAGGGGGCGAGTCGCGCCGAGCCGCGGCGTAAACGACCGATCCTGCTGCCGCGGATCAAACAACCCGCCCAGTCAGTCCCTCACGGTAAACCGGCTCGCTCGGTTCTCTCTGTCGCGTCGTCCGTCTCTCGCCGCGTCCCTCTCTCTCCTTCTCCTCTCGCTTCGTCGCGGAGCGTTCTGATCCTCGCGCCTCGGATTCCGAACTAACAACGCCCGGCGCGATCAGTAATAGTAGTAGTAGTAGTAGTAGTGATCTTCTTCGAGAGTGGCGAGATCGTGGCGGCCGTGCGTACGGCGATTCAGTGCGATCGATAAGTTGGTTTGACAAGCGCACGGAAAACCCGGCCCGGTGAGCCGCCATAGCTGCCCTCCTGTCTCCTTCGCACGCCGCGCTCCTCTTCACGGATTCTCGTGTCTGCCAGTGGATATTACTCGACGACGCAAGGAAAACATCTCGCAAGTAAGTGACACACCGACCAGCGGCTGACCGTGGCGCGCGAGAATTAGAAAGGCCGCGTATTCGTAAGCGAGCGAGCTAGGAAGCGAACAAACGGACGAGAGTATGCACGCTCCGGAAAGAGATCGTAACGCGCGAGATCGTGGTACGCAATTCGACTTAGCGCGCTGTGCTCTCCGCGTCTGACCCAAATCCACTTTTAATTCGACGCTTCGCGCAAATTCCGCGTTGATTTGTGAGAAGCGACGCGCGAGAGTCCCTCAACAATACAACAATGTAACGCGCGCTTGCTGTAGCGAGGGTGGTCTCTCATTAGGCATTTGTCGTCATCCAAACAACACGTTTTCTGACGTTTGCTAAATTAGCTCACATTTTCGAGACTTAAAAGGAGACAAATGAGATTCGATAAGATTCGGTGGGGGAAAGATCAGGGACCTAGTGCTGCCAATTCAGCAATAGAAAACGGATTTCACGATATATCTGAGCGTCATCCTGAAATGTGCTCGAAACGTTTGGAGGATGACGTCTCGAGGACAATGACAATCTTAGAACGTGCTGGGCAATTTGCACAGGCCTTCAGGTCGTAGGTCGAGTAACAAAAGTGTGAGAGACAGGTACAATCCGTCGGATGTTCATTAGACACTTCTGGAAGGTCTTTCACGCTTGTATATTGTTTGTGGGCAAGCGCGCACGATGGTTTCGACCAATAGCCGGTCGTTGACCGTTATTTTCGAGGTAGTATAGGCAGATCCGACCAACTGCTCGCGACGGTTGATACCTGCATGATAAATGAGATGTATTACTCGGGAGAAGGTCCATAACTGCCCGAATGCTTCGAGCCAAGAGCATGGCGTCTGTCAACAAAGCGGCGGAGATTGACTCGAGAAATCACCGAAACGTTAGTCAGTTTTTCTTCTTTTTAGAATGATCTTACGAGTACGTTTCGTGCGTAGCTATTCTCGTTCGTGCCGCCCAACGTGCCGTGCTCTCTGAATCTCTAGGAACGGAATTTCGCTCGAAGAATAGAGTGACTATCGAGCCGTTCCAGTGACTTTTCGCACGTAACTTTTTTCCTGCGCAAACGTGGAAAGCAAACGGTTTCGCGTGAATTCGACGACATCTGCAACCATATAACTGTTCCAACAATGAAAATGTGAACACTTTCGCGTGACATTTTTCACGAGTTCACGCTAGAGAGAAAAATACATGATCGACTGATCCCATCGACATTTTATTTTAAATTTGCTATAGTAATGATGTAAAAATTCACGTGCGACTGTGAGCCTTATCCTATTAATGAAATGTTTTCTCATATTTCTCACTATCTACACTGTATTCAATGCCCTTGTGCGAAAAGTATCAAAAGACAAAATTTTTTTCCGCTATTTGAAGGGAACACGTCGCGCAGAATGCCAGTACGTTGTGATACCGTCTCGAACTTCATCATTAATATCTATCTGAGTCGTCGAGTGAATATTTTCTCGAAATTGAAGAATGAGTCCGACGTGCCGCGCAACCGTGACAGAAACAGATTGACTGTAATCGACGAAGACATTCGCTCGGTATGGAGTCAGAATCCATTCTGAATGAAACATTGACTCTCGCGATTTCGAGTGACATACAGTCCGTTTCCGAAGAACTTCCGAACTAGTGCAATCAGAGTGGAAGAAAGTTTCTGGATGGTTGCAATTAGAGAATTTCCGTCATGTCAAACATTGATCAGTCAATCTTCTTGATAATATCAATTTGCATGCATTTGTGCAATTTTCTGAAGTGTCTTGAATGGAAACATTCAGAGCGAGTGACATGTGACAATATTTTTTAATATGTATTTATATTTTTATGCTCGAATGCATTGGGTCTATTTGTTTTCTAAGAACTTCTAAACTAGTGGAGTAAGTTAGAGTGGAAAAAATACACTTATTTCGCTCTAACTTATTCTGCACTAGTGCGGAAGTTCTTGGAAAACAAGTAGACCCGATGCATTCGAGCATAAAAATATAAAAATAAAAAATAACACTACCACTTTTCATTCCTTTGAGTGTTTCCACTCCACTCCAAGACAGAAAAGTGCACAAATGCACGCAAATCGATATTATCAAGAAGATTGGCCGATCGATGTTCGACATGACAGGAATTCTCTAATTGCAACCATCCAGATCGGATTGCACAGGCCGAGTTGAGCAAGAGCGACCGACTGATTTGTAATCTCCTTCTGGATTATTCTCCGGCAAAAAACAAGCGGAAAATATTTGCTCGCGTAAATGCAACGCATTAAGTAACGACGCAAACGGCTCGCAGACAGAGACACATCTGGCCGTGCACGTTGATCCAGCTATGCGTGCAAATGTCTTTGTTGACTCAGGCGTCGATCAGGTCACTGGTCTGACCGCGGTATTAAAGATCAATGCGGATGACGACGCATAGCTGGTAATTAACGATTCAGCTTGGACGGACGTTCTTTCACGCGGCGCTGTGGTTGCGCGACACGTGAGTGTGCTTCCGTTAGTACAACCGACGTTCCTCTGTTCCTCGCCTGTTATTTTGGTGAGTTACATAATGGCTCCATTAGATCAGAGCCGATTTATGACCGCGTGTTTGCGAAATAAACCGCGAACGCGAAATCACTTGTTCCTCGGCTTTATGTCACAGAATAATGATCTTGCGTGTACTTCACATATCTCTCTCGCTCTTGAAATAATAAAGTGGATAAATAACGCATAGATAAGACGTTATCTCGAAGAAGATCTTGCAAAGATCTCCAGCAAAACCGCCTGATTTATTAAATCTGTTTTTGACAAGATAAAACGTCCTTCGAACTCTCTCACTTGACGGATTCATTAACACGTGTGTCAATCGTGACTCGATTGTCACGTGGAGATTTCACTTGCGAATTATGCGTGAATATTTAGCACCTGCTTCTCATCTCCATTAGACTGATGGTATTATTCTTGAGAGCTGAAAGGATCGAGTTGCTCAAACATTGTTACTCGTTTCTCATTGGAAGAAATAGTCTGAGATATCGTTATGATACTTTGCGCTCACCGCAATCGTCGGGTATACGGCGAATACGATAACCATCGAGAGGTATTTCCCGTGAGACTCACTCCGAAAAAATTCGCGCTGTTGCGACAGTCCCCCGAGTTGTGACACGAGCATCGACAATTCCGCCCGTTCTGCAGCCTTGCCTCGATTGCCTCCTTCGGAATTCGCCGTGTTTCGTGGGCGATTTTGAGATCGCGAGGTACTCTTTCCCGCGGCACGTCTAACTGCACGTTGCGGCATGTAGTTTATCGATCACTCGGTGAAAGTGACGCTTTAGCGTTCGATACAAATTTAGAAAGCCGGCCGTGCCATCCGCGTCTCAATGCGAATAGCGCTTCCTCGCGATTTAACGTTAGAATTTAGAGCTTCGCAGCACACACTCGGGAGATACGTATCGAAGACTTTCACGTCGAACAGAACATACGCGCAGACAGGGTCTCTCGAAAACGCTCGAGGTTTCACGGAAAGTTGTTATTTCGTCCCTTAACACATCAATCTTAAGCGTTAAACATCTTGGTAACTAACTGATATTACTCATATATATGATGGCGATATATCTGTGAATATAAAATAGAATGTCTATCCGTATATACAGAGAAAAATATCATTCTACTGTCAAGAAAAGTTTACTTTCCTTCTTTTAAGTAATGGTTATCTTCAACAAAGAATATATTGTTGATAATAGTCTTAGAATATACTCATGACAAACTTTAGAGAAGCTCATTATCATATACTCGAAAGAAAAATTTATTCTCTTTACAAAAATATAAAAATTTATCTAAAAAATGTTGACTCGATTTTATGCGGTAAACAAATCGAATTTTTACTTTAATTATATATTCTTCGTTAAAATAAACTTACTAGAATTGTTTCTTGAATAAATCTGATGCTTGTAACGGGCTTCTGATAGATTTGTGAATCTATAAATGTATGAAGTACTTGAAACAAGTGACATTTTCTTGAATGTAGTATATATTTTTCTGTAGTATAAAACCCTGCGGGAAATATAGGCTACCATGAAACCTACACATCCCACCCTTCTTGATTTCATCCCCTTAACACTGTGATAATTTAAGTTTAGATATTTTAGGGCCGATTGTTCCAATCTCTTGGTAAGTTAACTAATAGTTAAATCATACATCTATCTTTATCTAATTTAAAACAGAAACAAAGACAGATATATGAATTAATTGCTAATTTACCAAAAGGTTGAAAAAATTGGTCAAAAAATTAAAAACCCTTAGATATAAAAAATCCAGGCGGATAGCTTAAAGGAATATTGGACACTAAATCTCTACCGACGAATACTGACTTTTATCTGCAAAGTTGTATTGGTTGTCTAGAATTACAATTGTTCTTGGAGTGAATTTTCACTCTGTGTTGTGGAATGAATTTTCTTTCTACAAATAGAATGACGACCGTCACTCGAATTAAAATGATTTTTCACCCATATAGAATGAATTTTTAATCGTGAAAGAGTGAATGATTCGAAATTAGCGCATATATCGTTGTAAGAACCATTTTTATCAGTTAATATTTATTAAGTAAGGCGAATGATTCAAAAGCCAGAATTTTAAGGTTCTCAAGTCCTACTATGCTCAGTTCAAATTTTTTCAAGCATATTATCTATGGATAATAATTAAATGGCACACTATTAAAAAAAGATTGTGATAACTAAAGTCATTGACAACAAACACGCTAGAACTAAAGATTTTCCTAATTATTAATTAAATTCACTTGGAATGAAATATTTACTCTTATGAAAAGTGAAATATCACTCTTTTCAGAGTGACAGTATTTTCACTGTCATTTGGAGTGAATATCCACTCCTTTTAAGTGAAACTTCACTCCAAGAAATTTAGAGTTTATTGTATCGAATTTTCTCTCTCTTCCACTTCCACGACAATGAAATTGCACTGCTTCTGTGATCGTTCATAGAATCTGCGTCGTGGAAAAAC